CAGTCCTCTTTGCATGTTTTCCTTACAAGGGTCCATGCATTTTGATGGTGAAAGGAGGAAAACAGCATTACTGAATTACTGGAAAATGTTTTCCACCACATGCCAGTCTTCACTCATTCACACCTTCCTCTTTCAGTTCCTTTAGTTCAGCCAGACCCATCTACCTCCCCACTTCCAACTCTGCCTTCGTCTTTACATCATAAAGAGTGTCCTGCTCCCCAGCTGTGGATCATTTCTGAGCCAAAGACCTGCAAGGCTCAATGCATGAGTATTTTGAAAATTTCTGCCAATCGGATTCCTCCTTTACCCCCAAATCTCTACACTTTTTTCATCTTTATTACTGAATCACTTTCTAAATACAGATTTCTCCTAAAGATTCTTTGTTAAAAGCCCTACAGGTGCTCCCAAAACAATCACAAATGAATGACAACAGGTAAGATTGAGGGAATCCCCGAATCCGTTTTGGGGACACAGGAGCTCTTAGGGTTACAGTTACTCCCTGGAAACCTCAGGACAATGTGCAGCCTTCTCTACTAAGGCTGGTAGATTCATAATAAAAGGAGCTGTATTGCCAGGAGGTCACCAAAATCTCCCTCCATTCCTAAATTTTGGTTTCCTGTGAATACTCAGAAAAGACATATATCTAGGGATTCAAACAAAATTTTAAAAATATAAAAGTCTGTGTTTCTGATTGTTCCAGTGATGTCGTAAAAAGGCCTAGTAGTACTAGCTCAACTGTATAGCCTAACTGTTTTCAATACAGGAGCAAACTGGTTGAAATGGCTGCACTGTCCACCTCACCTCAACTGCCAAAAACCACAGGCCTAATCTAGCTCCAAGTTCTGGGTAATCTAGTGAAACTTTTCCATATCTCAAGTTCCTAATGTTTTCACCGAGAGTCAAAATGCTGCTGTTTCCTAGTAAGAGAATTACACAAAATCAGTGTGAGCTTATTGTGGCAAAGTATCCAAACAGTTTATAGAGAATTCTTTCATAATTACTATACTGTCTTAGACAACACTTTATTGCTGTTTTCATTTCTTCTATACCTTTCTGTCAGCATGAAAACAAAATTAGATTCTTCTGATTCATTTCTCTTACTTAGGTTAGCATAATCTGGTGACAGAATTAGGGGAGTTTTTTTGGTAACTGTGCCTAGCAGAAAATCTACTTGTAAGCAAGCATTCAAAGATGATATCTGACTGAAATACTGAGCAGGAAATCACCTACTGCATATTCTCTATGTGATAATTTCTTTGTAACCAACTTTTCTGGGTGTGTGTGCATGTCTGTGTATCTGTGTGCATGTCTATGTATATATAAAATCAGGTTGAGTTCTCAAAGCTCACCTACAGATACATAATCATTGGTTACAATAGTTTTTAAAATATGCTGGGTTTTGTCTTGCTTCAAGACACTATTTTTGGAAACTAATAATAGCAAAGAACTTTTCTACCATTACCTTCCAGTTAAAAATTGGATTGGTTTTAGCTACAGTTTCAACTTTAGACTGTTAATGATGCTAACACTTGATTCCCACATAGTACTACTTACCATGAACTTAAAAAAAATTTTTTAAGAGCTTTTTGCTATAGGGCGTGTGGGTTCACTAGAAAGACAGAGAGACAGAATGTGAGAAATCAGGCCCTAGGGGGGATGGCCACAGCACAATCCCTTCTCCTCCATTCTCCTCTTGGGATTTTGGGCACACACCCGGCGTGAGTTTAAGCCACTGGGTCCGGGGCTCGAACCACGGTCGACTACTGGTCCCCCTTTTTTTTTTTTTTTTTTAATAGAGGTTTTCGCTATAGGTGTGTGCGCTCACCAGAAAGATGGAGAGAGACAGAGAGACAGAAAGTGAGACTGAAATAAAGATTTTTAAGATAGAAGGATAAGAGTAGAAGTTCAGGGTCAACATGGTAGTTAAAGCAGCTGGATCTCACATGGCCAACTGCACAGCTCGAGTCTCAGACCCTGAAGCTTGAAAATCATGCCAGGTGCAAGTGTGCGCCTATATACCTAAAACCCGACTGGAGAATGGAGGAAAAGGGATTGTGGCGGGCCCATCTCTCCAGGGGATGCTTTCTTACTTTCCATCTCTCTTTCTCTCTTTTCTCTCCCCAGCAAGCGCACATACCAGGTAGCAAAAAAAACAAATAAATTTGAAAGTTTACTTTAATTCTATTACACAGAGAAACTATGCCCTTCCATTTCTTAGGATTTTCTCTCAGTGCAATAATTTATTATTAAACAAAAGAAAAGTACAGATAAAATATGATAAGCTCACATTTTTGAGAAATGATGCTAAAATTGTTTTAGAAAGATACACATGACTATAGAACTGTTACTGTAAGATTTAAATACTGCTATCAATTTTTTTATGCCTTTTACCCCACACATATCTAATTTGCTGCCCAGACTTCCCATTTTAGAAGTAGAAAAATACTTTCATTTGGGTCTCAGTCTGAAAATAAAAACAAAAATAGTGTTATAAAACAACAAAGTCTCCCTTGTTTGATTATGTACCAGGCTGCAGTAATAAAATGATTCATGAGGACCATGTTTAAATGAAAAAAAAATGGCAAACTCTTTTTCAGCTCTGGGACTTCAAACTAATCAACTTTCTGAACTGTAGATTTATTTCAGACCATACCCCAAACTACAAAGTATAAACAAAATATATACATAATAGTAAGAAAAGAAGTACTTCTCCATCGATGCTTCCAAATCCAAATTTGCTTATTTAGGAAATGTCCTAGAGACTCCCTTCTAGTGACTACTTCTAGAATATTCAACATGAAATCACAGATTTCTAGGTCCAACCTCAGACCTCCTGGATCAGCTTCTAAAACTGAGCTCTTGCATTTGCATTTCTTAACATGAATTTAAGTTACCTGAACTATCCCAATCCTGCATTCAATTGAAGACAAAGCTAGACAGACATCAGACGGTAACTTGCCTTAATCTAGTACCTCTTTGAAAAAATGTAGATAGTTATCTTTCCTTTTCTTTCATTTTTCTTTTTGTTCTTTTCTTTTTTTTTTTTTTTTTTTTGGTAATATACAAACCACTACTTTCTAATGGTTTCATCTCTGCCTGCCTAACAGAATCCAGTAGTCATTGCCAAACCAATCTTCAGTATTGGTCCAACATCTCTCTCTCATAAAAGTCACCAAAGATGCAAAGCTAGACTGGATGTCCAGTCTTTAGCATCATGGTCAGCAGTCCCTCCCAAGGACAAGGCCAGAAATACCTCCTGAGCCACATGGGAATTCCTGGCACTAAGGTCCATCCTGGTAAGTCCTTTCTGGAGATATACATTTAGATGAGTCGTAGCAGTGTTTACCTGGACGACAGGTTAATAGGATGATCATTAGGCACAGAACAGGAACCAAGAAAAATGGGCCATATCAGTAGTACCTTTTGACAGAAAGCAGGGAAACTACTGAAAGCCCTTCTGGAATAGGTAATGAGTAATGAAGGCCAGAATGACAAGACAGAAACTAAATTCACTTCCTTTATAAATACAGAGGTTAGAGAGTGAAACCATTGACAAGATTTTAACGGAAAGATACATGGTCTTGAATGATCATAACTGTTTTTGTAAAGCTCCCACTCCTCTCTCCCTATACAGGGATATACAAGAAAGTATAAGTGGAAAAAATGTTATTAAAAAAGGATGAATGTATAACAAATGCCAGTGCCAAGCCTGATAAATCCTGCAATCATAAATTCTATGAATAATGAAATACTCTGCACCAGAACACCCAGACTTATGGGAGAATTATATGCGCATATTTTTGTATTCAAAAAATTAGTACAAAGATAAACATACTTACCATGTCATTTTGAAGGCACTAGAAAATACTACAGTAATCCTTTAAAAGTTTTGAAATACCCAACCCACCTTAAACCTGAAAAGCACCTAAAACTGTTAGATCTAACTTTTCCTTGAGTTAGATGCTGTTGTTTATATTTTCCTTAAACTTATCTAGTGTTAAAGGACACTAGATAAAGCTCTAAAGAGCAATTCACACATTAACTAAAATGTTGCATTGCCCAACTGACTCCAGGAGGACACTGAAAATCTGGAAGATAGACAGGAAAGAATTAGAAACCCTATTTCCTACTTTATTTTTTTGCTCTCTTCCCTGGGATTTCTTCCATTGTCCTCCCAAATGTAACAATTTGCAAATATTCTTATGTAGAGGAGCATAGTCTATGAGGGGAGAAAAGGCCTTAATTTTAAGATTTGAGAATGTACTTTAATTCTCTAGGCATGTTCGGCAGATCAGTTAGCTCTAACCTTGACCAAGTGGGTGACTCAGCCTTGTAGTGAAAAAAATTATTTTAAATTTAGGTGAAATCTTACATTTTCAATCCTATAAAATGGGAGTTCCAAGCAGTCTACCTTAAACGAAGAATAAACCTTGGCATATGCATTTACGAGAATTTAACAACTAGTACTAAACATATTTCACACTAACAGGCTAGATGGTCTCTATGGTTGGTTTCAACTCCTATCTTCTTGAGTTCTTTGGGTAACCTTACCAGACTATTCTTAGAGCCTCAGTCATTATGATAAAATCTGAATGAAAACGAAAATTCTAAATGAAAGTTGTCATCATTAAGTCTAATTAAACAGTACAGACAGAAAGATGGCAGTAGAATAAAGCATTCTCAATTAGGGTAGGGGGAATACCGTGAGAAGTTGGGAGCCCAGTGAACGAAGCACACAGCACACAGCACACAGCAGAATCTGGCTGGGGACTGGGACACTGTGGACAAGATCTCTCTGTGTCTTAGGTAGCAACTAAGCGCATCCAAGCTGTCAGCCTTGGGCTCTGCCGTAGGTAACCACCCACCCACAGGAAAACGCATGTCACCGAGAGAGTGAATCCCCGAAGTTTAGCGTGCAGTCCTCCCTCTCGGTAGTGTTCCGACTCTGTCCTAAAGGAGACCCCAGAAGCTCAACGCTGCAAAGTGGTAAGACGCCTCACCCTAGATTCGGACTCCAGCACTTGTGGTCCAGACAAAAGCCATCCTCTTAACTAGGGTGGGTTCATTCTCTGCGCTCAGTAGAGGGCTGTGGCTGTTTGCAGGGTACAGGCTGCCGCTTTGACTCTTGCCTCCTGTCACATTGTGATATCACCGTGACGGACCCTTGATACTACATGAGACTTGGACGCAAAAGCTAGTATTATCAGCAGTGGGTGAAAGGAAGCTCGATCGCCCTGCGGAGAGCCTCAGCCAGCAGGAGGGTGGCAATGCGGACCCACACCTGTCCACACCTCCGCCGCTCGGGGCAGGGGTGATCAAGCTTTTCCGCGAGTTTCCCTTCCTTCCCCTAAATAACCTGCCAAGCCCCCACCCCCACCCCTCCCTACGGGGAAGAGTCACGCCGGCAACTCGCTGAAGGACAGGGCGACAGCTCCCAGCGCGCCGCAGAACTTGGGCTTGGCAGCGGCCGCGGCTTAACCCTTCCTGCCTGACAGTCGGGGCCGACGCCGCCTTCTCGGGGACAAACCCGGCTGCCAACTTTCCCGCTGCCCCTCCTCGGCGCGCAGCAGCCCAAACTGTGCGGCTCGCCCACCCGGCAGCGCGGCACAGCGCCGGGTCCCGACGGCACCCCGGGCGGGCGGCGACACTGACCTTCACGCAGCCCCGTGCCCCGCGTGGGCTGCCGACCCCCCGGCCTCTCGGTGTGCGGCCCCCCCGGCCCCTCCATCACCCCCCAACCTCGGGGGAGCCCCGCGGTGGCGGCGACTGCAGCCCGACCCCGAGTGTCCCGGCTGCCCCCGGCCCGCTAGACCTTAGAGAACCCGGGTGCTGGCGCCTCGAACCGCCCACTCACCATTGGTAAAGGGCTCCATTTTCCCCCCGCCGCGGCTCCTCACGGTCGGAGCGCCCAGGCTTCCTACTCCGAGAGCTGAAGCGGCCCTGCGGACTGAGCATGCCCAGCGCGGCCTCCCAGGGCGGCCGGGGAGGTGCCGCGAGGGGCGGCGCCGCTCCGCTGCTCTGCGGTTCCGCCGTGCCGGGTTTTC